CATAACTATACAATATGCTATTTGATATATCAATACTTTTGTTGCACACATTGTGTTATATTTTGTATTATTTATAACTATTGAATATCGATCACGTCTTGTATTATACATATTCTTTAGATTTGGGTATGTTTATCTGTATATGCAGGTTTGTACTCCATGGAATATTTATTAGGTAAATGCCTATATAATAATATGTCATTAGTAAAAATTGTTTGTTGTCAAAATGTAATTTGTAAAAAGTCAAATGGCGTTAAATTTATTACAACAGAAAAAGTAAATACCTATAGTATATTTAATATACACAGTGTTCTAACCTAACCAAGCAACACTCGCCTGCATTTTTTTTTCGACTAAGAACCATTATATGTAATCACAACGTTTTAAAAATGTAAATAGTTCAGTAAAATCTGCACCGAGTATCTCTAATAGTGCATACACAATATTACAATAGTAACATACCTAGGTGGTTACTGTCAATGCATCAAAGTTAAAGACAAAAAAAAACAAAAAAATAAATAAAAAAAACACAATAGGTGGTTTGATTTAATTTAGGATGCATTCATTTTTTTTATCATACGTTTAACTGCGTTTTTATTTCTAGGTATACCACAAAGAGCTAAGTAAGAGTGGATGATACGAGCAGTGAGGGTTACGGGACGTTCGCCCTCCTCCCCACAAGCTTCGTGAAATGGCACAAGGGGTGCACCGTGAAATGTTGATCCACAGCTCCTCTCTTCTAAACTTGAAATGCATTAAATAGTTACTGCTCTATCATGTTTCACGACGATAACGTCTCAATTTATATAGCTCCTTGAGAGATAAAAAATACGAGTGATTGTGTTTGGTGGGGAGGGAAAATCCCCCGGAAATTGTGGCCTTGAGCATAGTTAAGTATCACCACACCGCGACCTGTATCGCAGCAATGGTCAAAACCTTATTTAAGATTTAAAAAATATAACATATTTTAATTGCCGAGTGACGAGATCCAAAGCTTAACATAGTACTGAACAATTTACGATTGCGTTAGGTTTGGCAAGGTTAAAATGTCTCAAAAACCAGTCAACACCTCAAACGGCAACGGCTGGAGCCTGGAAGAACCTAACCTAGGTATTTACAATATTTCGGTCTGAAATAAATTCGAAAGCGGTATCGCTATCTGTCGGCCGAGAAGTGTCGAACTCGGTGTGGATTGATGAAATCCAAGGATCCATAAACTTTGGATCAAATCCACTTCGGTCGAACTCTTCAACGCACGGTGCTATGGCTCGCTCTGCCATGACAATATTACAACGTCGTCCGTATTTTGTTGTCGGGATGAGGCTTTTTTCGGTAAAATATTTTGACCGAACACGCCGAACGGCGCCATAGGCAACCCAACGAACCAGTACTTATCTGTGCGTGATAAGGCGCTATTCAACGGGTGTGCACCGTTTAATCTATTCCGTGGTAGCACCGAGCTATCTCTCATCGTTCTCCTCGTACATGTCGAAAACGATTGCGAATTACAACGATCGTTCGCCGGCGTGTTCCACGACTCGTCGAATCCAATTTTCCGGGTCGGTCTGATCAGTTCAACCGCCGTCGGTTGCACCGGTTCGCGTTCCGTTTTTTTTTTCCGTTTTGGTTATGGTTTAAAAACAAACTCGTTTTTCTGTTGTTAAGTACCTGCCAGAGAGTGTTATTGGTTGCTCTTTCATCGCCGAACACCTCCTAAATTCCTATAATTAACAAGTATTATAAGAACAACGATGTTGGGCGAATCCGACGAGTTTTCGGAAATACTGAAGACCGGCTTCCCGATGTATCTGTTGATCGCCATCCCGTTGCTGTTGGTCATGAGTCCGGTGTGTCCGGCGAACGCGGCGCACGAATTTACGGTGTACCGCGCCCAACAGTACAGTCTACAAGGCGCCACATACGGTAAAGTGCTAGAGTCTCGACTGCTCAAGTCGTTAGACGGATCGATGACAGGTACTGATTGAATTTATTGTCTCCAAACGACAGGTTCAAAGAGCAGTATAATCAACTTGGAGGCCAGATCTCTGAAAACATGGAGCAGTCGGTCGAGGCATTGTGTGTTCGTACTGATGGACAACTTCACGACCGAAGAATATGAACAAATAGCGTCCGGATCTGGTGCCTTAGTGCTGGTCGTACCGCCTGCACCATATACTCGGGAGCAACTGAATGTGAGATATATATTGTCTTAAAATTATCTTTGTTGTTACTCATTACTTATTAGGTGATTGGCGAATAAAGCAAAGACCATTTCTGATCATCACAAGTTTGACGACTGGCTCAACTCTGTACTTTTTATTTTTTCAGTCCGAGCCGTTTAGATATATTTAGAATGGAAATTAATTCTTAAATTATTAAATTATTTCAGGCAATGCAAGAAATAGAACAAACCATTTTATTGTCCGATACTTCCATACCTGTATACATAATTAATTGGACTACTGAAGTCAACGACTTAATGAAGGACTTGGCTGATAGTAAAATTATAGATGAAAATGCAAGTTCTGCAGCCAAAGGTGCCAAACATGAACATTAAAACTAATTTCTAATTACCATATTAATACTTTCTTATTTTTATCAGCTTTCATTAATTCAGTGTCTGCAAATGGATATCAAATAGTGGTGTCGGCAAGTAAACCAGTTTTGCAACCAAACATTGCCATATCAACTATTCAGGTAAACTATTCAATGTGTACCTACATTTTGTTTTACGTAAAACGTTTTTGCTAAACTTGAAAGTATTGATTTTACCAGGGTCAATTGATTGGATATGGGTTTCAAGACAAGTTACCCAGTATTTTGATTGTTGCTCATTATGACAGTTTTGGTTTGGCGCCGGTAAGCAATCAATGTTAATATTGAATTACATATTTAATAATAATAAATAAATAATTTATGAAAAAATGTATTAATAAAAATCATAAATGATTTAATACAGGAGTTATCATATGGCGCTGATAGTAACGGTTCAGGAGCTGCTATACTTTTACTTTTGGCCAAAATACTTAGCCGAGTTTATGCAGAAAAAAATCGTCCAAAGTATAATGTCATGTTTATTTTGAGTGGTGGTGGTAAGCTCAACTACATGGGATCTAAAAACTGGATTGAACAACAAATGGAAAAATCCAATACCCTACAAGTAATTAACAAATATATTTACTCAATATATGTAAATTTTTTGTTAAATATTATTTGTGTTTTAGGATGTTTCATTTGTATTGTGTTTAGACTCGTTGGGCAGCGATAAGAATATTTATGCTCATGTTTCAAAACCACCAAAGGACGACACCAAAATGGGGAACTTTATGAATGTAATTTATTTTATTTTATGTTCATATTATTTTATTATTATTAATATTGGTTATTTATTTTTTTATAATCCTAGGAACTTAATAATAATTTAGGAGAAAATGGACTGAAAATCATTCATAAAAAAATTAATCTGGGCAGTGATACACTAGCTTGGGAACATGAAAGATATAGTATAAGAAGGTTGCCCGCTTTCACTCTTTCTAGTTTAAAAGTATTATACATGTGTTTAAGGTAATATTAGAGATGTTTCATGATTTATTTGTTAACAGAGTCACAAAAACAGCTCGAGGAGATCAATTTTAGATACAAGCGAAGCATTAGATTCAAAAACTGTGTATCGCAATGCTCAGATTATAGCTAAAACTTTAGTTGCTCATCTGTATGATTATAATACATCCGAAACTCCCAAAATCGTAAGTTTAATCTACCATTCATTTTATGATATTTTCCAATATGAATCTTAATTGCTATATTATATATATTGAATTCTATCGTTATGTACCTAAATTGATTGGTTTTTTTTTTCAGAATGTTGATTTTGAGTCGTTACGTACTTCATTGGATTTATTAGTTTTACAGCCTAGATCCGCACAAATAATAGCTCAAAAAAACCATCCATTAGTCGATAATTTATTTTCATTGATGAGTAAGAATTTAAAGGATGTTAATGTGTCTCATCTAACTGCCGAAAAGGTTGATCCACAGTTTTCATTCTACACAGTTACCAGGGCTACTTTACAAGTTTACAGGTTAGTAAAATTGTATAAAAGGTATGCCTCATGATTAAAAATGATAGATCTATACGAATGAATTACCTATTTCATATCTTGTACTACGACTATTGGATAATATTATACTCTATTCTGCAAAAGAATGCACCACGGCACGACTAAAATCGATTCTTCAGCGCATTTCCACGTTGGCACCTTGCCCTAGTGAAACTGGATTTGATAGCAGGGTGTCTGGTGCTCCAGTGGAGGTGTGCTAAATCGACATGTTTTTCTTGCCAGACAGAGTAAACGCAGTATCTAAGACTGATATATGCATGTTATTTTTGCTATGAATGTATTGTATATTTTTTTTTCAGTGTTAAACCAGCAGTGTTCGATCTCATTCTTACTCTAGCAATAGCTGTTTACTTGTCAGGAGTCTACTTCTTTATTCAGGTAAAAATCGCACAAAAATAAACCTGTTGTTACCTATCCTAATAAACTATTAATTATTTTAATTTTAGTTTGTACCAGTTGTATATGATTTATACATTGGTACATCAAAACCAGAACCTGTTACTAGTTTGCCGAAGAAAAATAACCGCAAAGAAAAGCAACGATAAATAGATTTATTTATTTCCTGTTTTATTATTTTGTTTATATATTGCTATATAAATATAAATATAAATTTTTTTTAGCTCAAAGCGAATTTTTGTAGTCAACTTAAATAAATGTAATGTTTTTTTTCTTTTTAGTTATTTTAACACTAGTACAAAGTGTTACAGTATTTTTTTTCTAAATGTCAGTTTAGTGAATTATTGATATGTAGTGAAATAAATTAGTCACTATTGCCCCCCCCCCTCCTCAGTTTACTTTGTACTTTTCTAATTTTGACTGATTAGAGTATTGATTTTAAAATATAATTTTGTTTCTAAGTATAATGAGTTGTAAAATAATCGTAATCCATACGACGAACAATATTAAAACTTAATAATATGTTATAACAACACTGCCTGTGTTTGCTCATTTTTGAGACAAATCACTTAAAATGTCAAAGTTGGAACACTGAGTATACAATAGTTAAAGATGTGTAACAACTAACAAATAATGGTTATTTTTTCATTGGTTTATTATTATAATTTTTTTTTTTTTTAAAATTAAAATATATTGTATTGATTGCTTTTTGTTAATATATTTTCAAATCATTCATTATAGATTGAAATTTAAAATAAAAGACGTTTCCAAGGATTATTTTGTGGAAGCGTTATCTGAAGAGATTTAATTATTATTTATTATCATGTACCTATCTTTGAGTATAATATTGGTTTTTATTAAGTTTTTTTATCCAAACAAAGTGTGTTACAAACATTGACTGATATATTAAGAAGACAGAAGTAACGGGAAATGCAAAACATTTTTTTACTGAAAAAAAAAAGGATTTTGTGAGCAGCTTAGGTTCATGTTTCCCGAACCAAAAAATCTACAACTGGCCCCCTGACTCACCGTTTATTGATAAATTTCCTGCTAATTCCTCCACAGGTAGCCGATGGCTGTAAAAATGCAACCAGACACAATTTATTTCCACCGCTTCAATGCACCTTCAGACACATGGATGCAATTAAAAATATTTGCTTTCCTCTATCGGTTTCAGCTTCTATAGAACTGATATTCTTTGCCTTAAGAATGCCTTTTTTTCATGTGGTATCACTACATGGAAGAAGAGCTGTTTTTACCTGTCATTTGTTAAAAAAAAAAACATTATTAATCTTAGATACTCTCATAAGGTCGACCTATATGTTGCCTAAAGCAGAGGAATGGCACTATGTGAATTGGCCAAATCGAGTGACTATGGCCTTGAACACGGCGGCAGTAAATGTTTCCTCGGAGAAAACAAACATATCAACTCAGATTGGTGTGTGAGCTTGTTTCCATTTTTTTTTCGGTGATTCAGATTTCAGATCACAGGTAAACGAGAAGCCGATCAGCTGATTAGGTGCCTGTAATAAGCCATTATACGTATTTTGGTTTTCCATAGGTCTTAAAATTTTAAATAAATGTGTAGGCCACCTTACATTTCATAAATGTTTTTCTCTGTAAAATGATTTTCCAATAATTTTTGCTTACCATTAAAATAATAAAATTTTATGTTACAGTGTGTACTATTTGAGCCCCTCAAGTATCATTTATTATGTCAAAGTTTGCCTAATTTGTCATTTCAACGGTTCAGCTAGAAAAAGGCTTCTTCGCTTTTATGATTATGTCAATAAATAGAAAAACTATCTATTCCCTTAAAATTTAGCACAAATTGACAATAGTTTACCATTTCACATTGAGTGAGACCTAGAAAATTATATGACTTAAACTTCAAGTAGATAAATTGTATTATACTTAACATGTTATTTTAAGGTATCAATTATTGTTAATTGATTAATAAAAATATAAATAAAGTAAAATATGTTTTTTATACAAATCTTATAATTATTATAACTTGACTTTATAATGTGTTAACTCAATTACACAATTTTTTTTTAGAAATAATAAAAATATTCAGTATTCTATTTTTACATTTAACAATAGATTTAAAATTTAAAATAAAATATGATCATATTCATAACACACAATACTACAATAGTGATTTAAATTAAATACATTTAAACATAAAAAATATTTTAACTTTAATATTTTACATTTGATTCATGCGAAAATATAAAATCGAATGGCTATAAAATAATTTATCATGAACATGAAAATCAAAAATTGAAAATACAAAATTAAAAAAAAAAAATCATTTATCTGATTGTAAATAATAAAATGTAAATAATTCAAACATTTATTATATTTAACACAAAAGCTTTTAATTGGAGTGGGGTAAATTAAAAATTAAGTTTCATTCTTTGGTGATAAAAAAATAATATTATTTTTTTGTTTTTTTTTTGTTTTAACTGAAGGCTAGTGGTAACCAATTAAGTAAAGAATAAATATTCTTTAACTTTGTACTTATAAATATACTTTTTGACTACATCCATTAAGTACCCATTAAACAACCGCTAGATCTCCGTGAACCCTGATACGATACAGACATGTATACTCTTCATGTCCATGGTTTGATTCTATTCTTAATTCCACAATAGAGTAAACATTATCTGTCGCCTAAAACAGAAAAATGTTATTGTTCACAAAAAAAAAAAAAAGTTAATTAAATGTATTGCTCACCGTGGCAGAAAAATATTGTAAGCTAGGTCCATCGACGGTAAACTGATATTTACCCAATAACTTACCATCTGAATCTGTCTCATGTTTCAACCCCTATAGACAAAAAAAAAAAAACAATAATATTGTAAAATGCATTAAAAACTATATCAATTATAAAATACTAACCCAAACACTAAAATCTTTTGGGGCAGATCTAATATGACCATCTTCTGAAAGTGATTTTGGCAAATGTTCTATGGTAAAACCAGTTACGTGTATAGTTTTGGATAGCTTTAACACCAAAAAACCCTTAGCACCAATGAATGCCCAACATTGACCAGGGTTAACACCAGGCTAAATTTGAATAACAATAAAAAGCTTATCATAAGTTTCAAGTTCCCAATAATATTACTAAACAGTGGGATATAAAAATTTACAAGGATCTATTTAAATTTTACATTATTATAATTAATTTCATTATAAGTATTAGTTATAGTATGAAAATCAGTGTTCTCTGTGAGTTAAAGTACATACAATATTAAAAAGCAAATAACTCACTTTAAAATTAATATAACAAAAAAAAGCAAAGAAAGCAACACAGAAAATATTCTAAATTTTAATTTTGATAATAAGTCAATTTACTGTAGTAATAAAACTAATAACACAAATATATTTTTTCTGAATAAAAATTTAACACTTTTTTTGTACTTAAGTAAGATATATACGGGCATCACATCGACATAACAGCATACACAAGTGTTAATTATTTTTAAAAAAAATCAATCTTTGTAAAAAGATTGTATTAATTATGAAAGATTTATCTTTGGAATTAACAGGGAAGATTGTTATTCTGCTTAATCCTGATAGAGTCCGATCCCATCAAGTCCGGAAGTGAAACTGAACCATATTACTTTCACTTTTAAATTTGTTTTTAGAAAATATAATATTTTAATTGCAAGTTTAATGCAATATTAAAGTAACTTAAATTAACTTAAGCAAATTTGTGATGTATTTTTATACCTGAATAGCCATTCTTGGCCCATTTGATATAAACCACAAAGGTATTCCAAACATAGTTAATGCCGCCGTTGATGGCTTGGTTTGGGTACAACGTGTTCCTAGTACTGTTGCACCTAAAATTCAAGTTTAAAACGGTACATTTTAGTTATAATTAAGCAAGGTCAAAATTATGATAATATAAAATTTCATTTTCACCAGCAGATTCTAAAGCGTAATCAACCATTCCTGTTTTATCAGCATCATAAATACTTAGTGTAGATTTCATTGTTATGTTGACATATTGTTCAATAAAATTGACAATTGAATTCCAATCATTTTTAGAACAAGCTTCTTTAGACATGGATTCGGTACTTGGTTTTATTATGGCTAATTAAAAATACAAAATAACAAATTATATATTTTTATATTTCGGTTTTTATAACAAATTATTAACTAATTAGTTATATTCTTAAGAAATAAACAATCTAATTAAATATACTCAACAGTATAAATCGGGTAATTTACCTGGTTTAGATTTGTAGTCCTCAAAGCTATTGATTAGGTTTGAAACAATATTTTGCAGTTCTGAAATTTTCTTTTCCATTGATTTAATAGTTTCTGTATCTCGCTCAGCAATGTCATTCTTAACATTATTTAGTGTAATTTTTTGGTTCTTTAATTGATTCTAAATTAATTAATTTTTTATTTAAATATATACAATAAATGATTCAATAACTTTACAAGAAAATATAATATAAATTTACATTAATCCAATTTAAGTTTTCAGAGTTCAGCTTTTCTAATTGGTTTTTTAACAAATATTGAAATTCTTGATCGTGTAATTTTACTAAATTTGACTGCGAAATATTTAACTTGTTAATTAGTACATGTTGAAATTCTTCAGAAGCTATAATTTTTCTAGCCAACAAATTATAATCAAAAGCTAAAAACTCTTGATTTTGTTCAACAGGAATAGTATGGACTTTAGTAGCCGAGTCCACAACAGTGTTAATATTACGAAATACCTGGATAAAAAAAAAAGATAAAATCCTTTTTACGTTAACTGCAACAATTTATTATATTTAATATGGTAAGTAATAATGCATTGCATACGTTAAAAAATAATTGCCCAAATAATTTTAAAGCAACCATCATTGAAGCTAACACCACTGTTACTAAATCCAATACAAAATGCACAGTAGAAGATAACACTTGATAAATTGATATGACCAAATTGAGTATATTAATAAATGGCGATAGAAGGAAATGCGTCCAAGAATCTCGCCATACTGGAATTTCTAAAGGTGTTAAGTAGTTTAAAACGCCAACTATAACACACAAGTAATAAAATTATTCATCAGTGTTATAAAATGTTGATATTTTAAAAATATAGTAAAATTTGTACCAGCTAAAAATATTATTAATGCTGAAATTAAGATGAATATTAGATTGTTTTTTCTGGTATGTCCAAAATAATGATAAATTATTTTTTGCATGGTTGTAATGATAACTAATTCGTAGTGTACTAAAGTAATAGAGGCCAAATGTACCCAATTAGTTATTTTCCGAATAGTAGTATTAATTATGTTGGATCCAATCTCTGAAATAACAGTTAACAATTTATTTAATCAAATAATTTAGGAGTAAAGAAAATCATATAGATAAAATAATATGTTTATCTTAATCCATAAATAATAAATGTATATATCTGACAAAATAGTTTTGTATTACAGTTAGAATAATGAACTATTCATAAGACAATTTTATTTAAGTAGCTAAAAAATATATAATTTTGATATGTTAAATTAATTTAATACATAATATAATATTAAAAATTGAACCCTCCAACCTATGAGGTATGCTTATTGGAGGGGTATCAAGTACTTGTATTAAGTACATAATTTATTGTAAATATTATTTGATGATGTAAATTAATTATTATTATTATATAATAATGACATAATTGCATGAACATTATATTATTTAAGCACTATAGGTTAATACTAAATATCCTTAACATTTTCATGTTTTTAATGTCATATACTCATATCTTATATATATGATTATAAATATTAAAATATATATAGTGAATGACCTAATTCCCAAAACCAAATAATTTTTCATGAATAATTCTTGAATTTAAGATATTTGTGAATAAATTACTTCAAGTTATCTTATTTAAGTATTCAATTTTCCTCACAAAACATTGGATTAAATATCCATTAAAAATAATAACATAATTATTTATGTAATAAACTTTTATGAAGTAATTAAATAATTTTTTTATTCCAATGCAATCCTATTAGAAAGAATAATAGGTTTATTTATAGGTTTTATGATTTATTTATGTCCATAAACATAAAATAAAATAATTTATTTAAACTACACTGTTATAAAAATCAAATAACTAATAGTCCACACAATACACAATTAAATAATAAATCTATAAAAAACAAATATATATATATTTTTATATCTTACCCATTACAGACTTATGTACTTCAGATAATGTAGAAATAGAAATAAAATATGAAATTATGAATTTAATAATCGTTTGAATTGAGTGAGACACGTATTTTACGAGTGTTACGGCTTTTCTTTGAGTAGTAAATGAGGTTTCACCGATTTCTGTTTCAGTTTCGTTGTGATCTGTTTTTTTAAAATGTTTATAAGTTGTAGTTGTAAATAATTTCTTTTCTGTAAAATATAAATTTAAAAATAATAATAAAGATTTAATTAATTTTCATAACTGTTAACCCCTTCACTGCTTCAAAAGTACTATTAAGTTCAAAACATTAACGCCTGCTCCAGACGTAATATTACATTCCTGTATTTTATAATATCATTTTCCAGTAAAAACTTTAGAAAGTGCTGGCTGACATTGTTTTAAATTTAAATAGTTAGATCATTAGGATCTCAAAATTAAAATGAAAATATTTTATTTTACGTAGCATACATGTTGCAGAGAAGAATAACTAGTGTAGCAGTGAGAAATTCAGTACTAAATATCTAATAAACCCACTTATATGACTAGAATTAATGATATGAGATGATTGGTCTTCAGAAACATCATGTTTCAGAGGAGTTTTCTCATAAGATTTAAGAGGTAATCTTGACATATTTGGTATGAGAGGTATGCCTGGAGACACTTCATACTTGTAGTATTTGGATCCAGGTGAATAGGTATTATCTGTTTTTGGC